ATAAACTAATAAGACATTTTCTTGACTAAAACGTAAAATGACACAATGTAATTTTTTTCAAGTATCGATGTTTGCTGCTTTACATACTTCTTACCTTACTGTTGTGTGTTTGTATTCACATTTTTACATTAAATAATTAGTCATCTGAAGTTGAATAAAAACAGGCAAAGCTTTGTGTCTCTGGTGTGCAGAATCTGGCTCCAAAAACACAACATACAGACAKTTTGGTATGTCGTTAATAATACTCCAACAAACACAACCAAGGCTGAAAAGGTGACAAAAAAATTGTATTGGTACACATTTTGTTTTTAATATGCGCTAATATATCAGTATGTTTTAGGCAGCTAAGGTACCTGTAGCTAAGCTAATATTAGATTTGTTTATTCTGGGTGATTTTATTAAACATTACCAAGTTGTCATTTTAATGAACACAATAAAAAATGCGTCAAATGTATTATTTTTTAGCTTATTTCAAAGTTTTTTAATGTAATTTTCCCCCTTTAGTAAATGAAAGCTAAAAGGCTGTACCCTCACAGGATACAAGGTTGATGGAGAACTTTTCATTGACAGATAGGAGCTGTTTTTTTGTGGTAGTTCCCACCACATGGGGCGGGGGGTGGGGTGGGAGAGGTGGTGTCAAAGGCCACCACAGTAGGTGTTTTTAGGTCGACATTTTGTCTTTAAGACACACTTCCATGCTTTTCACATACAGGATAAAAACCACAGTCTTTTGCTATTCCAGCTGTCAGATGGCCAAGATCTGGGTTTTCAATAATAATCTCCAAAAATGAGGAAATCCATCAAAAAGATCAGAGGCTGTTGAGAACCATGTGTCGTGCAAGAAGACAGTCCATTACATGTGTACGCACATGTTTGAGTGTTTGTTTTCTAACAGCAGACAAAAAAGGAAGGCGTCTGATGCAAGAGAGCGGATTTTCACCCTTCTCCCCTTCTCTGATTACTGCTGTTTTGGCAGCTGACGCCCAGTAATGGAGACCTGGCTGTCAGTGAAATTTGTGGCTGTCTGCCGTAGCACAGCTCTTCATTCCAATCAGCAGCTGTCACACCAGCCCGGGCCGTTATTAATGACGGCCACTAACTGCCTCACAAATTCTCGGCACTATTTGAGAGCCGGCGTGAAATAAGGTTACACTCTTTTCCCAGTGTGCTGCTGTGGGTTAATGGAGAGATCTCAAATATCAAACAACTATGGAAACTACTTCTTAGCCTTCTCTTATTTAAGAACATGTGTCAAACAAAAAGAGTTATGAAAAGTTTTAATTTAAACAAAAAAGGCAAGTTTAAGTTTCAGTCAATGAGCTGGAAGTTTGCTCTTTAAATCACTGCTATCCTCCTTACGTCTTCAGTCGTTCTGTTTGATTGACTAAGATAACTACCTCGTAAAAAATAATTAAAAAAAAATTCTGTGTACCCTTGTATGGTTTAGGCTGCACTAATAGAATTGTGTGTGAGAGGCCAGAAATGCAACGTGACAGAAAAAGCTTGTGTTTGTCAGCTGTTAAACATGGGGCACGAGTATTCAAAATGGCACACTGGGGAACAGCTGCCATATAAATCACTCACCTTTGAAATGCAGCAATGAGCCCCCCCGCACCCCAACTCAGAGTGGAGCAACTGACTCCTGAGCCTCGATACTGGCTTCCTCATAGTGATTACACTTGTACACAATTACTTTCTACAGTAAACATATTTTGATGAATGTATTGGCAGGTCTCCAAGGTGTGGAGAAAGACCATATAGTTACCCCTTGATGTCAGCTTTTAGGTTCTTTTTTTTTTTCCTCAAACGCATCAGTTCAGAAAGAGCGCTGACATTTTCCAGAACGACTGTATACRAGAGAGCAAATGTCTACAACATTCACTTCAAATGTCTTGTTTACCAAACCAGTTAGCAAGTAATAACTCTGGAAAATTGCAGATTGATTTCGTGTGTGAATGCAGCATGTAATGATCAGGAGTTGGCGTGCATGCTGATAACAGCTGCTGCTTCATAATTTTATTGGATTTTTTTTTTAATATTTGCTGCTTTCTGTTCTTTGTACTTTAAGGCATATTTTGTACAATATATTCCAATAAAAACTCTCTGCCTTGTGCACATTCACACAAAAGTGTTGTGACCCACAAGGTGTATTTTTCCGCTGAGACTTCCTTCACTCTGATATTGCTCGTTACTTCCTGTTTTACTGTTCTTAAAATGTTTTTAAGTCTACAACCAGTCAGTGTAGATTATGTTAATTTGCACTTTAAAATGTAACTTCTGTTTTTCTTAACGCCTCTGTAATGCTACGGTGCAAGAAGTAATGCTGTTTAACATATCTTTGGTGTGCCTTATAGCAGTGGTTCCCAAACTTTTTATCTTCTGACCCACAAAATATTCATGGCAAAAACTTGTGACCCCAAATATTACTGGTCTGAGTACACAAACTTCATTAATAACCCTAAAAACACAGGCCTTTTGACGATCTAAACAGTTTGTACACAAATATAAATACTTATTTATACTTATTTTGTGTTTTTGTAATAATTATAGGGAAATATTACATCATCAATTATTTTATTACCCTTTAAATTGATTTCTGGAGATTATCCAAGGTGCTTCATGACCCATAATTGGGTCCCAAGCCCAACTTTGGGAACCAAAGTGCAGTGGTTCCCAAACTTTTCAGCTTTTGACCAACAAAATAACAGTAGCAGAGACCTGTGCCCACTACTATTTCTGGATGATAAACATCTGTATCAGGTCAACTAAACATGGGCATAGTAACAATATTTTTATACTACATTTATCCATTTTAAATATACTAACCTCACTCCTTTGTAACAACTAAGGCAAAAATGTAATTAATTCAGAAAATCTTTTCAACAATATACTTGGTTTATTTTGATAATGACTTTTATTGCTGGATGTTCGGCCCTCTGCTGTTGGCCTGCATTTACTGTGTCCCCCAGAGCAATTTAGTTGAATAGCCCTGATATGTACTGTCCCAACATTATTAAATAAATAACAAATAAGTTTTTCCTTCATCTAAACTGGTGTTGGTATCGGCCTCGAGTACTGGGGCATTTAGAATGAGTACTTGTAAACAAAATGCTGGTACTGGGACACCACTAGCTCATGACTTATGAAATTGTATTTTTGTCCATGCACATTATTTTGCAGCCTACGTTGACAGCCGGCCCAAAATTTATGGTAAATTCTGTTGAGATACATTTACAACATGTAGTTACAGTATCCACTCTGTCAGGCTGATGACTTGCTTTGCAAATAAAACTGACGTTCTCAAATATATGCCTTGTAAAAAAAACAGAAGAGGATTCTCACCCTGTGACAGGTAACAATTAGGTCCTAAAGAGCCTAAAGAGGTGTAACAAGATCCTGGATTATTGTTATCAGAGGTCATATCAAAGAAAAGCCTGTCTGCTGTCTGAGAGTTGTTACAGAAGGATAAAGTAAATAAAGAAGAGATTGCAGAGGACTTTTTTTTGTTTGCATGACCTTTGGTTTCCAGGTAATCCTTATCTGAAAAATCTTGATCTGGTTTCCGACCCTCATTCACAAGGTAATCTTTCCATCCCTTGTTGGCCTGTGAAGGAATGCTCACACCTTCTGCACTTTAGAGATTCACTCAGATGTGAAATCTGCCGTAGGAATTCAGCAGGGCAAACCGTCTGCTAGCACATGCTGATCTCTCCTCAGATAACGAGCTGTTGTTTTGGCAACAGCCAGACATCAGAGAAACGATAGTGCAAAAAAGAAGGAATGATAATAATAATAACAATAATAGTGACTGTTGGATGAGGTGCTGGCGCCCTGAAGCCCTGCAGCACTTTGTGGTTTATTGGGACCTGTTCTCCTTCTGCCTCGGCGTTGAGCCACATTCCGCAGTGTGTTAAGTTGTTTGTTAGCGGCAGCGTTGTGCAGTGGAGGGTGGAGAAATGAATATGCGTGTGAGTCAACAGCTCTGCTGAGCTGGGATTGAAGAGCGAGCCGTATGATACAACACTAAGCGCACCTGTCAATCTGCACGCGATTACCTCCCCACCCTGCAGGCATTTCACTGAGAAACTGCTGACAATTACAGGATGCTGTGGGCACAACTTCTCTGAGAGGGGAAGTGAACATTTTCTCAAGTGTCCTGTGATATACGGCCGACGGAGGACGGCTTATAATTTAGGTGCTGTTGCTTCAGGTTAATGCTTCTCTGTTGGGTCATGTCTCTCTGGCTGAAGGGGCTGGTAATAAGACTTGTTTGAAGATCTGAAAATTAGTCGGAGCAGCTGTGGGTTTTTAACAATCCTTTACTTTTAATATATGACAATCAAGTGTCAAACAACAAGATGTTGGAGCCTGAAGGTACATCAGCAAAACAAACAGGAAAAAAAACAGCTTTAGTTTCATGTATCAGTTTAACGGGTGTTTAGGTGATATTAGCTGTCAATCACTTTGCATTGTATTGGATTATACTGTATTTCAAATATGTGTGTGAACTGCAACAGTTCTTTTACTTTTGAATGACTGGAACAGGATCTGAAAGTATGAATATGTGGGAGTGGTGAGGCTCGCTGTCAGGGTCACGTGTGACAGGTCACACTTCAACACAATACAGCAACGTAAATATGAACCTTCATTATTTTGCTGGTGTGGATTCGCTTTATTTTTTGCAACACGAGTGTAAAATTACATACTATTGATAGTTGAGTGACTGCAAGATTTATGGTACAAAAATTCAATCACATGGTCTCTGAGGCTATTATACTGTGGAAACAGTGCTTTGAGTTACCAGCTAAATGTAGCACATTAACAAGCCTTCTTACATCAGTTATAGACTAATGGCATTAGCATTGTGTGTTCGCAGGCAGTTCCTGATATTTTCTTTGCTTATCATAATAATACATTTCTTAAAAATTATTGCACACAAACATGTTAAATCAATGTGAAATACAATGTAAGCCGGATGACAGAAAGAACTAGTTCCTGGATACAAGCAGMTGAAATGAGTGTTTATTACACAATGTTGATTCAATCCACAGCCTTAGTAAAAACTCTCTTTGTGAACTGACCTAAMCTTTGTGTTCTCTCTGTGATCATCGTAGTTTTAATCCTTCAAGCTCCTAAGTCTTCTCGTGCCTCCTCGCCTTCTATCTGGAACCGATGTTTCCTGGATCCCCCTGCAGTGGAGATCGAATCTATAAACAAAACAAGAACCAAACATCAGCGACTCAGTTTTCCTCTGTCCGACCTGTCACTCTCCTTTGGTTATTCATCTACTTACCTAGTTTTCTCTATCGTCCACCTGAACCTGTAACCCTCTGTCCTCCTCTCAGTGTCTACCAAACAACACAGACTGCAGTAACAAGAAAAACAACTCTTAACTTAGCAGAGTCTGTCTATAAAAGAACTATACCAACCATCTTCTATTTCCTGAAGATGCTCCTGCACTCCTGTTCACGCAGTGCTTTAAGTGGAAAAAAATAAGTGCTGGTACTCCCATAATATCATATAAATATGCCATAGAGACATATGTAATGTTTTTATATCGATAAATAGTTTTATTGCACAAAAATGACAAAGAACAAAACCAGTTCTAAATCAAATACACAAGAGTCAAATTCATCACTGTTTTTGTTGTCTAAGTGTCTTGGAGCTCATAGCACCTAATTTTTTTATTCAGTTACATATTCAGTAACTTTTTGGGAATAAATGTAAATTTAGAAGTAGTGTTATTGAATCATTCTTTTTAATTTCACTTGAGTAATACAGTATTACTATGATGTATCACTATGTTAAATTGAATAAAATGGATACTCTACAGGCTATACTTCACTTAATGAAGAACAAACATGTTTTAATCTAATCTGCACCTGACAGAATTTGTTCAAATGACAACACAAGCTTTGTTGATCTGATGTTAGTTTCTATCTGCTGAGCTGCTGACACATTTGAAAATGAAAGACATAAAGTAAATTCTGTCACTATTTATCCTGTTCTAGCATACATATACATTGCTTTCTGAATTAGATTAATGTTTTATAATTTTGCACATTTTTGGATAAGTGCTAATTTTGCCTTAATTTGTTATTTTGTAAATATGACAATTGTTGGTATATATTTTTTCATTTTAGTCTTTGAAATACTAAACTTGAACATAACTTTATGCTTTTGTCTGTCTGATGACATCATTTCTAAATAGTAAATCAGATGTTTCTGCTCAATTAGTGAGTTCTTGGGTAGTCTTTATCAAATACTTTTTTAACTCTTACTTGAGTAATTTCTTGGAGAGATACTTCTTTTATTTGAGAAAAAATATTATTAAGTAGTGGTATTCTTACCTGAGTAAAATTATTGGGTACTCTATCTCCTGTGCTTGTGGGTCAATCCAGCTTCATATTTTCTTCCATTTAAGTTTTATCCTTAATGTTTATTTTCATAGTTTATTGTTGATTTTCCCTTCCTGAATATGTTTCCTATCATGATCTGTGTTTTTATTTCTATTCAGATCCTGTATTTTGCTGTTTGTCTCCTGAATTATTGCTCAAAAGGTCTTGCCAAAGACCTACTGGTTTGTTCATTATTTAGTTTCTTAGTTTATTCTTGCATTTTGTTCTTCATGTATTTCTGTTTAGTTTTCTTTTCTTCATTTAATGAGTCCTTGTTAGTTTCTCTCACATTATTAGTTTGCCTCCTGGCTGTTTATATTGTGTTCATGTTTACCAGTATCTCACTCACCAGTAACACCTCATCATCCTCGTGTTTCAACTGGTCTGCCACGCAAACTCTTGAATTTTTACTGTTTAGCACCAGATTCCCTGTTTTCATGAATTTTTTCATCTTATTTTTCCATTATGTGTTGTGCTTTTCTGTTCATAAACTCAGTCTGTGTGCGAGAAGACCACGCTGCAGGCCAAGAGCGACCACGCGTGCTCCTTTAATTATTTTATTTTTTCTTTCTCAGCCTGCATGGTTCAGAGCTTCATGTACAGGGAGCAGAGGGAAATGGGAAACGCAGGCTTTATAACAGTTCTGGAACGTATCGGACTCAGGAAATAAGTTCTGGTACTCTGAGGGGTAAAATTGACAAGTGGTGGTACTGTGTACTGGTGTGTACCGGCCCACTTAATGCACTGTATTATTGTAAATAAATCACTTACAATTTACTCTGTGTGTCCATGAGTCTTCCTGGTTTCAGAGTTACAGCTCTGGGTTTAAAATTTACTTTTAGGAAAAATGACAGGTTAACCCCAGCAGTTGATGCTGAAGTTTTATTAAAAGCTCCTGTGTAATGTAATAGTGTGTGCTGTGCGTGACTCCCAGCTACAAAGACTCCAAAATTTAGCTTAAATGGGAGATGTGTTTTAAAGTCCTACAGTTGGGGTTTATATAAAGTGGAACTGCAATGCTTTAATCTGAATACCTGGTTACTGTAGCTCCACAAGCCCTCTCTCTCTCCCGTGTTCTGAGGTGTGTCTGACAATAACTCATTTTGGTTCTGTGTCTTTAAATGCAAATGAGGCACTTTCACTCCCTGCCCCTCTCCAGGTATCAGTCCCAATGATCATTGTTCACTYCGCTCAGTTTTTTGTTGTTCATAGATAAAAATATTGAGCTGCACAGAAACTTTTTATTTACAAATCAATTAAAAGATGTCAACAATGGAAGACGTGTCCATCCAGCCAGAGTCTGACTGAGAGCAAGAGGAGAATAAAGATGACAATCCTGCAGAGCTGTGGATTCATGAAATTGGTAAGCTGGAACTCCATGACCTTGTTTAGTGGTTCTACTTTAAATACTCTGATGTAACTGTGCAGAAAATGTAACGGGGAATAGAAGAACTGAACAGACTGAAAAATATGACCCAAACAGAACCTACGGAGCACCAAGAGAAATTAAATTAAACTTTTCTGCAACACAGCAAAGTGTATTYAACAACTAAAAATGTGAATTTTTAACTATTTTCCCCCTTTAGTATCTGTAAATTCAACTGAAATGGTTATTGTTGTGTTTTGTACAGCTAGCTGTGCTGGCCATCTTGAATTAAATTGGTTTGAAAACCTAATAACTTGTACTAATTCCTGTAAATCTAGCTTGTGATTCATGACATATTTTGCGAACAGACACAAATACATGCACACACCTCTTTCACATTTCTTTGGAATGCAATACCTTATACAACCCCTGGCAAAAAGTATGGAATCACCAGTCTTGGATGAGCACTCATTCAGACATTTCATTCTGTAAAACAAACTCAGATCAAAAACATGATACAATAATAAGGTCATTACAAAGTGCAACTTGTTGGCTTCCAGGGACACTCAAAGAAATGAAGAGAAAACATTGTGGAAGTCAGAGAATGTTACTTTTATTGACTAAGCACAAGGAAAAAAATAACCATTGACAACAGAGCAGAAAAAAGGACTAACGATGTAGAAATCATAAAAAACTATTAATAATAATAT